GGTCAAATCCGACACTTCCTTGGGTAATGGGCCCAGGGAGCCTTTTAAAGGTTTTTCCTCCTGACGAAAAAAAAAAAGAAAGAAAAGGGTTGCGTCAGGGTTGTGTCACAATTTAGTTGTTTCGACAACGGAACAAATATTTTCCGAATAGTTCTTATTGGTCATTGTCAGGTTTTGTATTTAATGTTGCACATCATTGGTTTCGTCTTGTCATCTACTATCCAAAAATTAAGTAATCAAATATAGTATTGTATTTAAAAAAACAAAGTTGACTAATAAATCTTGAAAATGATTCAACCTAGCCAAAAAAATACCGTCGTATGGTAGTCACAACTTTTTCTTTATCCACTTTTCTGCTACTATCATAGTTTCAGTCCTATTTAGGTGGCACGAACTGGTGAATCACCCTGTATATTGTATATGCATCTCGCACCATCTGTTCAAACGATGAAAGACTTTCTCCTCTTCTCTTTTTGAAAATAAAACTTCTTTTCGTAGGATAATGAAAATTTTTTAAGCAACACGAAAAGTGAAAGATTTTGATAGGAGTGTTTTATGTTTATGGTGGTTTTAGAAACGGGAAAATATCGGATTGGTCAAGACTTGTGAGAGATAGCAGGGTAAGTGTTGCGTGTCACTACAATCATTCAGTTTTCGTTCACTGATATTTTAATGAATCGTACATACAATATTGAAATCCATTGAGTTCTTGGTCGCACGTGCTTTCCTTTTTTTATCCTTTTTTTTTGTTTTTTTTTTTTCTTTAAAGAAATCTCAATAATCTCTTCCTTCCTTGAAATGGAACGTGTAGCACGTGACTTATGTTAGATTAACTAAACTTTCACTATATTATTTTTTATCAACACCTTTCAATAAACATTATGGCAACTTTCTTTATTATTATTATTCTTATTAAAGGATCGTTCAGATGTGAAGTTTAGAAAAAAAAAAGGATTCTTTTTCCTTCATATTTTAACTTTTATGACATAAGTTTCGTTTCAATAGCTGCTACTTTGATTTAAAAACTTTTGTTTTGATTTGTGTCAATATATATTCTGTTATTTAAAAATGTAATAATAATTCCAAACCAAGAATTCTTTTCTATGGAAATCAAATTTACGAGAATGCTCTTATTTTTGTTATTACTTGATTAAAATGTCCCTAGAATACAATTGATAAATAATTCGATGATTTATGTATTTTTCTTGTTAATATTTTGATTTATTTCTTTATTCCTTTCTTACTTTCTTTATGTTGATCTCATAATAGCGGAAGAGTTTTCTAAGGAAGGTGCATCTTCTTTGGCTACTCTCAACTACCTTCTCTCATTCTCCATACCCTCGGGCCATAAACAAGTCTCTCTCTCTCTCTCTACGTTTTATGGTTATTTCAAGATTTCAGGAATGCGATCCAATTTACGATAACGATCCTTGTCCGACACATGGTTGTGCGTACGGATCGTCTACTTGGTTTCTTTCTTCTTTGAACGGAAGAAGAGATGAACAGAAGGTAAGAGGAAATCTTCTTCGAACATTGCGAGATACATGGAAGAAGAAGAAGAAGAAGAAGAAGAAGAAGAAGACAATTCGCAATATCCAAGCAACGCGACAACGAAGACGACGAACACGACGAATACGACGAAGACGAGGACGAGGACGAGGACGAGGACGATGAGAATGATTGGAGGTTTGGAAAAATATTGCACGTACGTGCTCTCTCTCCCTCGACTCGTTTCTTCACGTAGCTTTCTATTTCATTTTTGTCTTTCTCCCTCTGTCTCTCTCTCTATCTCTTCATTTGTGTTTCTCTGTTTATGCAGAAAGCGTGGGAAGAAAGTAAAAGTATCGTCATTCATTTTCCGATCATTCCTACATCACTGCAATGACATTATGTACTCGGGTGGTCCGTCCCTTCGTAATAAAAATATTTTTATCCTTTTGACTGAATGAATAATCAAATGTTGTGTTTCTTTTCTTCGTTGTTTTTATTTTATTTTTTTATTTTTTTTTATTTTGTCAAAATAAAAACGTGAACAGATTATTAAAATAATACAAAATTCAAAGTGGAGCTTAACGTTTGGGTGCACTACTCGAAGTACGAGTTTTCAGATTCTTTTTCAACTTATATTCTCAGGATTCGAGACTCGTTCGCAAGTCTACATGAATCAAAGACGAGGCCGCGGTAAGACTCTTTGGCAAGATATCGAATCTGCGACGTGGGAGCGATAAATAATGGATTCGCAACACTGCACTAAGGAAGAAAAATAAAATCTAAAGTATTCATGCGTACGGTGAGTGAGTGTAAACGTACTGGCAAACTTTGAGAAATAAGATAAGAAAAAGAAAGAGAAAGAGAAAGAGGAAGAGGAAGAAAGAAAGAAAGAGAGAGAGAGAGAGAGAGTACTATACATATGTACGTAGGTACTAAGGTAATAAAGCTAAGCCTTTGAGCCAAACGTGAAAGCTGACTTCGTCGTTACTTTGAAACTTAATCTTTGAATTCGTTCGAGAACTCTGTGCTCGTATTTTATAAATCTCCTTATATCGTAAAGTCGAACACAATTCTTTAGTAATTTTCGCGAGTCATTTGTTTCGTTTCATTTCATTTCGTTTTATTTGTTACGTTTCATTTCATTTCATTTCTCCAAAGGTAATGTAAAAACTTCGTTTAAAATATACGTAATCGATGTTATGTCTCATGTTAAAAGCACTATACAATTAACTTAATACAGATTTCATAAGAGAACAATCTTAATTGTATACTTTAGAGAAAACTTTAATTAAAACGTTAACTTGATTATACTATTGCACAAGTATCTTAGAGAAAACTATAGATACGTAAGGTATTTATTATGATTACAATTTAATGATTATTAGTTAACGTAATCTATTGATACATATAATATATATATATATATATATATATATATATATATGTGTGTGTGTGCCGGTAATTCTGACAACAAACTACCCTAATAACACAAAATATTGAAAAATATTAAATCTCTTTTTTAATATTAGATACACATGTATTTAATATTTTTTCAATATTTTGTGCTACTAGGGTAAAACGAAAAATTCCAAACATTTATTTATTATAAAATAAATCATTTAAAAAATATATATTTTCACTTACCCCCTTATTATAATTACCAGCATGACATTTACAAAACGAACAAAACTTGTATGAAAAGTAATATCGAGTTCTTTTAAAATTTCTAAAGAGTATAAGAAACACATGTATGCATACATACATATATACAAATTTAATGTTTAATTATTTTGTCATCCCATACGGTGGGGTGTAAGGGGTTGGTGGGGGGGCATCAGGTCAGGCACGCTTTTAATCTCGACATTTCTCGAGATGGAAACGTGCCGGGTATAAGTGTTAATTGATGCAAAAGCATCTCTACGGAGTGAATTAATTATAACAATCTCAAGTAAGAAAGCATATAAATATATATGTATATATGTACATGAAATATATACGTACACGAGTTTACGTGTATACGAAGAAAGATTTACGATATACGTACGCCCACGCGAACTCGTCCCAACCCCGCGGCGGTCCAGCACAATTTGTTACGTCTTCGTAATTAAATCGACGCACGAAGTGGATATGTGCTACTTTAATTAATTTAATTAAAACGTTTCCCCGGACAAGAGAGCTTGATCGAGAAATGTATTTGCAAATGATCTCGAATGAAAATTTCTCCCAGTGAAATTTTGGTGTATTATTACGAATTAATATATTTTACTTTAATAATATTTTATGAAGATTTTTATATTAGGTCGTTTCAAAAGTTTCTTTGTGTGTGTGTGTGTTTTTTTTTAGTAGTTCTATGGGCATAATATTTTTTTTAGATTGAATAATTTAATAATTTTAAGATGTAATAAATTTTGACATGGGTGGATGTCGTAGTAGTGGGAATTAATTTATATATATAAATTATATTTATATTAATATTCATTAATATATTATTAATTTTAATTAATTAAAATTAATTAATTTTAAATATTAATTATATTAAAATGAATTTTGCTTAATTATAAGAAATTAATTTTAAATATTAACTATATTATTATTAATTAATATTAATTTATATTAATTTATATATAAATATATTTATATATATATATTTATATTTATTATATTAAATACATAATTGTTTACATAGATATGTAAAATACATATTATGTAAAATATATATATATATAATCGTATATATATACGATTAGCACAGTTTCTTCTATGATGACTGAGAGCAGACATACGACCGCTCGTCGAATCTAATATTGTTTAACTTATCACCAAAAAAAGGAAGAAATATTTGGAACAACCTAATATCTTTCATTCTTCTTCTTCTTCTTCTTATTATTATTATTATTAATTTTTTATTTAATTATTTTCTTATTCTTGTTTTCATTTATATCATATATACAATCACAATAGATCAGCATCACGAACTGATAAAAATGAAAGATATGTATTTCTAAAAGATCGATAGGATTTTTCTGATCAATGATCGAAAATGATTAAAAAGTAGTAAGTCTTCGTTGAAAAATCAATAACGTTTACTGACAAAAGATAAATGACAAAAAACTTATTTAATTATAATAGTCAGAGTTAATATTATATACATTGTTACTTTAATTATCTTCATTTTGATTATTTTGTTGTTGTTATGTGGTTTTGCTTGGAAGGAAAAAATTGTAACGCAATGATCAAAATGCGATCTCAATTCTTTTCATTTCTTTTTATTTGTTTTTTATTTTTTTATTTTATTTTATTTTTGTTTTTTTTTTTTTTTTTTTTTTAAGCGATCTCAAACAATCGAGAAAATTCGGTCTTATCAAGATACGCAATAACTATTATTTATACCAACTGTCAAGTTAAAACTTAATGAAATAATCAACTGACTACTTTGGAGTTCCAATTGATTTTTAATGATTCATATTGTTTATAGTAGAACGACAATACAATGTTTTAATTTCTTTTTCTTTTTTTTTTTGAACAAATGAAAAAAATAAAGAGTTCAAGTAAATGCTAATTCGTGAATGATAACCAATCGATACTCCAAATGTGTCGAAAGACTAGAATGATTAAAAATAAACGCCCACAACGATAGATATCTAACCTTCTACTTATTATTATATAATAATAACGAAATCTAAAATAATCATAATGATACGATGATTGAATAATATTGATACAATAATTATAAACTGATGGAAAACGTAAGATAAACATTCGTACCTTTTTCTTCTTTTTTTTTTTTTTTTGCTTTTTTTGATTAAGGGTAATTACGTTAAACAAAATACATATATTTTTTTGTATCTATCTATCTATCTATCTATCTATCTATATATATATAATATAACAATACGATTGTAACTTTAATAATATATACAATTTCGCGACAACGAAATACAAATGACGAGGAGAAATATAACGTATGAAATATCGTGAAAGAAATATTATTATCTTTGTAAAAAACACGATGCAGTGTTATTGTCGAGTTTGTCTTGTTTATGATAATTAATTAAGTACCTAACGAATAAATTAATATTATAGCACATTTTGAACCCTTAACTAATGGTTCCTGTGTGATACACAATGCTTCACAATCGAGTAACAACAACGACACACTCGTTTAAAAGAAAACATGTTCTGGACGGATGTAAATCTATGAATAAAAGGTTTTCATTCTTTCACCTCTTTTGTTCACATTTCAATCTTTTCCTGAGTACAAACGTGATTTGATTTTATCGCAGGATAATTCATATCCTGATATATATATAATATGTAATATATAAAAGGAAGAAAGAGATATAAATTAACAAAAATCTTGTCTCGTTTACCTCGACGTAAAGTTCGGCAATCAAAATGGCAAACTTAGTCTGTTATGATTTAAACTCTGTTATCTCTAAAATCATTCTGTTCTCTTTAATTCGACGTAAATATCAAAAGTATCGAAGTTATGGGGAAAAAGGGGGAGCGGGGTGGGGGGGGGTAGAAAGTAGGATGAGTTTATTTGAAATGTCGTCAGTCGGTGCACTCGGAAGCAAAACTCTCGAGATCGACGTAATGGCCGTTCATATTGTCCTCGAGTAACTGTGCCAGATCCCTTCTGAGAATCTGAAACTCTGGTCTGCGATTAGGATCAGCGTGCCAACATCGGGATATCACCCTGAAGAGTTCACTTCGACAGTGGGACGGTCTCTCGAGGCGATAACCGTTTTGCACGTTCCGCATGACTTCCCTTGCCGTCATATCCGGATACGGCGTTGAACCTAAACAACATAAAATATTTTGTCAGTTGCCAATGTATGATCATACGATGTTAACTTGTTCGAAAATTGCCTTCGAGCAAAGTAGATATAATCCGACTTATTTATTAAACGGGTCTTTAGCAAAGTGGAAGAAGAATGAATGAATGAACGAGATTGGTACGAAAATTTATAGGGATATTAAAAGTGTGTATGTTAACGATGATATTTAATATAAGAAAGAAAAAAAAAATTAGAAAGGTATGTTTACACGTCATACAACTGAAATTTCAATCAATTTATTTGTATTATTTATTTTCAAGAACTTACCGAGAGTGACTATTTCCCACATCAAAATGCCGAAGCTCCATACGTCGGTTTTCGTAGTAAAAAGAGAATAAATCAATGATTCCGGTGCCATCCATCTTATCGGTAATGCGTTTCTACCGTGTCTAGTTTCAATAACTTCACCATCTTTGTTCGCAAATCTTGACATTCCGAAATCCGCGATTTTGCAGAGTTTATTATGATCAACTAAGACGTTCCTGGCTGCTAAATCGCGATGAATTATCTGGAAACAAAATGAGAGAAAAAGAAAATAGTAAAAAAAGAAAAAAAACAGAAAAAGGAAAGATATTTTAAACGAACTTATAATGAAGAATAATCTCTTTATCATGAGAGGAAGGGGGTTGTCTCATATAATATTTAAATATTAAATACAAATAGAGATACAGCTGCTTGAAAAATATGAGCAAGTAAAAGAGAGTCTCTCGGTAGAATCTTCGGACCTTGTCCAACCTGTAGATGATGCTAATGAACCAAACGACTCAATGCCAAGGCAAACAAGATTTATATATATATATATATATATATATAGATATACAATCTCTTCGTTTCTTTTAATGATTTCATCTCCTAGATTTATTATTTCCCGCCGTTGTTTTCGTGGTTGCTACGAAATACGAGATGTGTGTACGTCAATTAGCAAATTCATAACATGTTATTTTCGATCGAATACAAGACAAGGAGAATAAAATCATTTTTTTTTTTTTTTTTCATCTGCACATAGTAAGAACAATAATCGATAATTCATCGTAGAATACATGCATCGCTAGGCTAGCTCTCTTACGTATTTCAAATTTCTCACGTGATCGTATGAACACCCGTTATCATTTTAAACACCAGTTTCAAGACAACTGGTCTCGCTTCGTTGCCAGCTGTAACATTCGTTACCTTATCCTACTAATGAGCAAGTAAGTAATTTTGCCTTCGTAATAGCTAAATACGGACAAGGTTTGCTGACTGTGGTAGATGCGAACACGATGATGCGTAGTACGATGTTGATCCTTCAATGTTTTTTTTCTTCTTCTTCATTACTATTTTTCTCTTTATTTTTGTAACCTTTTACAAATATCTATGTCATACGACGACATCGATGTAAGTCAATTTAATCCACAAACAGATTAAATAAGATTAGATAAAGAATGTTCTAAGGAAGAGTATTCTAAGATTTCCTTGAAATTGATTTTAATAAAATGCACATGATTGGAGACATAATATTCAGATAATGTCCTATTTCATGTAATAACATCGTCTTGAAATCCTTGCCAATCAATGCCAAACACAAGACGTCCTTTAAATCACAATCAAAAGGTCCCGTATTGTAAGTCACGTGCGATATTAGATGCATCCTCTATTCCAAAGCATTTTCGAAGATAGAAGAGATAAGTTTATCTATACCTGAAATTACCTATGAGAACCTAGCACGTTCATTTCTTCTCTCTCTCTCTCTCTCTCTCTCTCTCTTTCTCTCCTTTCTTCCACTCTCTCTCTCTCTCTCTCTCTTTTTCTTATTCTCGCAATTATCCATCAAGTCGAGAAGATTAGTTTTCGCATTGCACTTCTGGGAAACCATTATACAGACGGAAACACGCAATTCGTTCTTTCGAAGAAGCCGATCGATGATCCATTCTTCTTTTATATTTTTTTGGGGGGTTTTTTGTTGTTGTTGTTTTTTGACGGGACAAAAAATTGACTGGTCTCTCACCTCCATTTTTCATTTGTTTTTTTTTTCCTCCAAATTTTAAAACACGATAAATATCACGAGGATGATCCATCGGTGATCAGAACGACAAATTTACACGACTTTTTTTTTTCTTTTTTTTTTTTTTTTTAAATACGTTTCTTCTAATATTTCATTTCCAAGACTAATATTTAATTATTTAACATAAGGTGTAATATCTAACGTAAAAATTATGATAACGAATATTCTCGTATATTTTATACATCAACATAAAATTAAACAAATTTTTGTTGTATTTAAATAAATATTAATATCGATTTATGCGATCCTGGTATTTTTTTCCATTCATTTTTTTTTTCTAAATTTGTAGGAAGTTTTTTTCTTTTTTTAATTTTGTCCTTGATGAAAGCCTCTTCAAAAAGACTAATATTTTATTATCTAACATAAGTGTAATATACAACGTATATAAATTGTGTGATCACGAATTCTCTTGTATACTTTTCATCAACATAAAATAATGAAATTTATTGAAAAAAAAAAAAGAGAAAAATTAAATATTCCTATGAATTTATGCGACTATCATTAAATCGACAATTTTAATTTGTTTAAGAAGTAAACTCAACCTTTTTTTCTAAAAATTCTCGTATCAATAAAGACTCTACCACAAAGCGAGAAGAACACATCGGACAAAGTTTTTAATCGACCTTGGTGTCCGAGTTTTCGAGCGTTAGTAGAATTACGATCTTGCTACGTTACAAAAAAAAAAAAAAAAGAGACTTTGGAATATCCGTGAATTCTAAAATAACGGAACGGACGTGTAAGTATGTATGTATGTATGTATGTATGTATGTATGTATGTATGTAAATACGTCGACCGAGTTTGATGTCGTCTTTTAAAAAGTCACAACGACCATTTGTTGTGTTTCTAAAGAATCAAGATATTTTCATGCTTTTTAGACAAACAAATAAAATCCATTTCTTTTTAAAACGGAAGATGAGATAACATGCATGATTATCTTTAAATAAGAATGACGTAAGTAGACATTAAACATTTCTTTTTTTCGAAAAAAAAAAAAAAACAATTACGATATTTGTTATATAAGAAAAATTGAAATTACAAATTAGAATCCATCCAGTTGACCACGTTGCACATACAATTGTCTAAAAAGTGGACAAATACATTTAAAATAAGTTTCAAATAAAAATAAAGAACAAATCAAATATGGTGGTGGGATTGGAAAGATGATGGGGGACGACACTGATAAAAAAAAAGAGTGTGTGTGCCATAGAATGATTAATAATTTTTGCTGAATTTGTTTGATGACATTAAATGAGAAACATTTTTAAAGTGACTTTAAAGTCGTATCGATTCGTCGTCGAGGTGTCACACCGAAATTTATCACGATTCTTTTTCATTCTTCTCGCAGCACGTGCCTACTATGAGTAAAAGGAAAGAGATAAAGATAAATAGAAAGAGAGAGAGAGAGAGAGAAAAGAATAATAATAAGAAGAGGGTTGAAAGAGACTCGTTCGTTTTGTTTTTGGTTTTACTTGATTCGTGCAAACTTACTTTTTCTTACCGCGACAAACCTGTCCTGGGGACTGACAATGAATTATACTGACCCACTGACTGGCACGAAACGTGATTCGACTCTCCTTCGATATCATGGTTATCGCTTGATCCGTAAACAAGCAGATATCACGTGAGTCTAACTCGTTACCGTTGCTTCTCTCCATCTTTTTCTCTTAAAAAGTAATGAGAGACTCTAACACTAATTCTTTCATTCTATTTCTTCTCTTGCACTCTCTCACTCTCTCTCTCTCTCTTTGTCTCTTTTTTTCTATTTTTTTTTCTTTTTTTTTTTTACTTATTCGTTTGTTCGGATAAGGAGACTGATAAAGTAAGTTTACCTTTTTTGACGCGAGATATTCCATGCCTCGTGCAACGCAGTATCCGAATACCGTCAGATCTCTCGATGTCAGGGCCGCCGAGTCCTCACTGAAATTGTAAAAGTCCTGCCTGGTGCGGTGATCGCGTAGATAAGCCAATAGCTTTCCGTACATTACGTATTCTAGTATCAGATAATGGGGCTCTGTAAAAAGAAAACAGTTAAACAACTTTATTTTTTTTTTTTTTATATTATCTTTTTTATATATATATATATATATATATATACATTAAGACAACAAAAAATAGATACTTCGTTTACGTTTACTATGGTCATCAACAAGTGACGTTTATGATAACAGCAATGACGACGGTAAAATACGATTATCAATTGAGCAATGTGAAATCATTTTAAAGATTGATATTTCAAATTGAAATCCAACGAAAATACAACTGTGAGTTTTTAAATAGAATTTCACAATCAATACATCTGACAATTTTCAAACTTTGCAACAAGTTTGAAAGGACGAATATTAAAAAGGAAATTGAATAATATGCATGTACAGTTATTTTTGATTATTTTTAATAATCGTAGGAAACAAAAGGTTATTTTTGATTAATCTCGTGAAATGTAAATAAATTTCATACGAATATTATCGTATATAAAAATATAAAAAAAAATTTTATTATTATAAAATAATAATAAAATAATAATAAATATTAAAATAAATATATTATATATAATATTTTATATGTAAATATAAAATAATAATAATAAAATATGTATATACAAAAAAAGAAAAAAAAAGAAAAAGAATTTGCATAAATTTTCAAAAAAATCGTATAAATTCCTTTTTACATAATTTCTTTTTTTTCCAGTATACTTAGAAACTTGTATACCTCGGATTTGAATTGTAAGAAAAATATTTCACATAGAAGAATCGAATGAAATAAATCACGTCGAATGGGAAAATAAATATATCGATAGAGTAATTCGATCTCGTCACGAGATCTGATCGTTATCCCATAAAAAAAAAAATTGTATGTATGTATCTATCTCACAACGATGATTCTTCTAAACGACACACATTTTTTTCCTCTTACTCTTTTTTCCCATTTGAAATAAGTATATGTTGAGATTAGGACATGTAGGGTATGGATTATGAACGAAGTATAGATCCCAGTTAAAGTAATTTAAACTGTGCATTTTTGGGACCCCGTGGGCAGTATCCGGCTGATTGTAACTTATGGGGCCAGTTCGGTTGGGCAGTTTTGCCGGTCGTTTCGTGTTGGCGCCTCGTCGTCGTAACTCTCACATTAGGCCAACATTACTCCCCCTTTAATAACTTCGGTTTGTTAAGGAACCCACCACCACCTACCATTTTATTCTACGCAAGCAAATTCTTCTTTGCAAGTATCATAATATTTGAGACAACGCGGCAACGTCGATTTTCATGCCGTTTATATTTTATGTATGCATGTATATATGTGTTACATGTATATAAGTATGTATTTATGCCACCTTGATATACGAGCCACGTTATCGCTTACGCCGTATATTTCTTTTTATTTTTTATTTTTTTTATATATTTTTCATTTATATTTTTTTTATACGTATATAATCAAATAGATGCAATTTTCACATCTCGCAAAGTATAATTTGTTGGTTGAAATTTGAAACATTACTCTCTCTCTCTCTCTTACACTGTTATTAAATATTTTTTAATGATACAAATATTATTTGCCAATCTTGTGTAATAAAAATTAACCATTAATGATTCATAAAAAGGATGTTTTTTTTTAAATACATTATTTTTTGAACGTAATTTTATGGAGACACTTAACTCTGATGTTTTCACGTACGCGAGGTTATTATTATCGCAAATTATGCGCATCGTATTCTAAAACTTTACTTCCTCTGTGTATTTATAAGAAAAAAAAAATATATATATATAAGAAACAAAAAAAACAGAAAAAATATTTGACGGATGATGAACAAAGTGGTATATAGGAATCGTATTTTAATCGAATGATCGTGTTTGAGCGCACGTGCATGCATCGATACGGCACGTAATCGAAACAATAGCCAAGACAAATGGAAAATAATAAACGTTCGTAGCTAAAGCTGAACATTTTTTACCTCGGTATTCGATTAACGAAATTCGATAAGGCTATAATATTTCTTAGATTTGATTTCTCGTAATAGCAATTTTCCATTTTTTCATTATCGCAAAATATTAAGGCATATATGTATACATGTATACCTACGGTGTTTATCGTCACAGCTGTTTAACACGTAATAAAATAAACAGCTTCCGTGAAAATATAAAATAAAAATTAAAATGTTATTATTTTCGAGATATTTCGAGTTCTTCAAACATTTCGCACATGTGTGTATGTATTTATGAAAGAAAAGAAAAAAAATGAAATACTATATATATATATAATGAATCTTTTAATACTAAACCTATTAATAAGTAAGGTTAAACGAATGAGTTCTGTAATTCGTAAAAATTGTGACATTTTATAAACGATGCGGTAAAATGTATAAAATGTATATTATTTATTTCTAAATATATTATATATTATAATATTTTATTACATTATAATTTATTATTATAATAAAATAATATATTATATTATATTATATTATTATATTTATATTCATTTATAATTTGTATTTATATTATAATATTTAATTAATTTATATTAATATTATTATTAATTACTATATTTATATAATTATAATATACAATAATATAAATTTAATTTATATTTATATTAATAATTATTATATTAATATTATAATATATCATAATAATTTAAATATTATTATAATAATTTTCGTGATATATATATATATATGATAATAATACACCATGAAATTAATTATAAAATTCTAAATAAAAAAGATTCATTCTATATTAGTATATATATGGATTATTTTTTAATCGATCATTTGACAACTCACGATAAGAAATAAGTATATATCAAATGTCGATAAATATATTTGAAGTAACATATCATAAGTCTCGAGATCGTTGATAAGAGTTCTCATTTTTCATCTTTTAATCGGATAGCATAAACAAATTTTGAAATGAGAATTTACGAAAGAAAAAATAATCAATCGATCGGGTTCTAAATTGAAATATCATCGGAGTATAGAAGTGATCGATAAATGGGTATAATGGAAGCGTTGGGTTGTGTCTTATTGTCGAAGAGATACGTCGAGTTATGTAGAAGAACAAGAAGCAGAAGAAGAAGAAGAAGAAGAAGAAGCAAAAGAAGAAGAAGAAGAAGATAAAGAGGGACGTAGTAGTACTGTAAAGAAAGAGTAGAGAAAAATACGTAGCCACCTTCTTTCAAGTTACTTCTTCTCCTCCTCCTCCTCCTCCTCCTCCTCCTTCTCCTCCTCTTGCTTTATCCTCTCTGGCGTGGAGACCGAAAGGATAAATGCGGAGGACACGAAACCACAAAGTCGTAAATTTTCAGCGACGGACCCTCCTTGCTGGCCGGGGGCGCGTTCTATTGTACGCCGAAAAGGGTCCCCGACAAGAAGGCACGCTCCCTTGAGCTTCAACGAAAAACTCTACCGCGTCGGAAAGAAGCTAAAGGGCCGAAATAGGGAGTAAGCGATTATTTTAATTGCGTTAAAACATTCTCAGGATGGTATCAAAGGTAATCTCGATTTTCGAAGGAACGTGCGAACGTTAAAGGAAAAAAAAAAACAAAAGAAGAAAAATAAGATGTAATATAAAATATTGATTGAACTTTTTGTTTTTTTTTTGTATTTTGGAAAAAAAAAGAAAACTAGAAGAAGAATCTCGATTGGGGGGAGAAAAAGGATTATTTAATTGATGTATTGTGTTGAATAGATCTGACAATGAGTTAGGTATAGGCACTGTGCGAAGTTATGGTAGGGGAAGCCGAAATGGACACTAGCGCACGCAGTGGATAACTTTGGCAATAAAAGACGGTGTTTTTTATTTTGGTGTTCACTAAACATACGTGTGACAATGAATTTTATGATTATTTTTATAAAAATGTATAATAGAGTTTTCCTTTTTTAGAAAATAAAATCTAAAGAAAAGAACTGAATACTAAATAATTTTCGTCTACATCTGCGACACTTAAAATTCTCCTACATATATATTTATTTTTTTTTTTTTATAACAATGTCACATCGTACTTTATCTGCTTGCCAATATTATTTAAAGTTTGATCTACTGTGGCTATAATTTTTGAACTTTTTATTTACTACAATAAACGCTACAGCTTTCATACTGTTTTTCAATTATTAATTATACTTACATTTTAGCGGTAATTTTTGCATCATAATTGCACAAGATTGAAATTTTATTGTCACGTGGTTCGACATGTAAAAAAAAAGAAATTTTTTTAATAACAAAAATGAATTGTTATCGCAAAGCCTTATACGTTTAGATATTAAAAACCTCAGCAGCAGCGTCTTTTAGTTTCATAGATACCATGGCGCTACCATGACGCTGCAATCACGCACGGTGCCTATACGTATGGGGATTTATATACATAAAACACGATGAGGAAAACGATACTAAAGAAAGATAGATAGAAAGAAAGAAAGAAAGAAAGAAATAAAATGGGATATATATGGAAGGAAAGCTTCGTAATATAATGTTATCAAGCTTTCATTTATTTATTTTCTCAAGGATCAAGGATCAATTTGAACTCGTCCTTAGTTTTGATGTCTCAACGGTACAATAAAATATCCTCAGGGATCACGCGATCGATTGACTATTCTTAAGAAGAGATAAAAACGGAAGAGATAGAGAAAGATTGAGGAAGAGAGAGAGAGAGATTATTTGCGATATCTCAAGATAAAGTGACACGATAAATTCATCTCTTTCGAGTAAGGAGTAATGATTTCCTCTATTTTTCTCATTACCTTTTTTTTCTTTTTTTCTTCTTTCAATAAATACGATATACCTTAACGATTAAATTTTCAAGGATAAAAAAATTAAAAACTAGTTTTTCGTATTATCTTCTTCTCGTGTGAATTCCACGATGATGAAATTGACGAAGACATTTTGTTTTTTTTTTTTTTTCTTTTTTTTTTTCTATGAAAAATAAATTTCAATCCTCGGTAAAAGCTAGTTTTTTTCTTTTTTTTTCTTCTTCTCTTTTCTTACTACAGTAATTTGATAAATGCAATCATACGTTGTTATTTTTTTTTTTTCTTCTTTTTCTTTTTCTTCTTCTTCTTCTTTTAATCGCATACTTTTGATCTCTTAAATAATTAATTATTGTAGAAAATAATAAAGGACATTATACGATCGTGTGTAAATCATAGATAATACTATTGAAAAAATAACGCGTGGTAAGAGAAAAAAAAAATATTATTGTGTTGTTCGTATGTCAATCGAAAGAATGTGTATCTCTCTTTATCGACGATATAATCACCGTATAATGTAAATGACAAGGATTCTTTTTTCTTTTCGATGGATTATCGCGTCCTTTGATAAACATGAGATGATGGAGTACGATTTATATTAAAAATGTATTAGGGTCGTTGAGAATAAAAATATCGAATGGAATAGAAAAAAAAAGAAAAAAAAACAAAACATGCTACATTCAATGAATTCAATTTAGGGTAAACGGAAAATGAGATATTTGAAAAAGGACAAAAAAAATATGAGCTGCTTGACGTTTTGTTTATCGAAGAAGATTTACGGTGTTGCATCACGTTCTATGTATCTAACAATAAATAATACCATATATATATATATATGTATGTATATGTATATATGTATATGAATCGAACATTCCGTATGGGTACTAATCGATTATAAATTAATGATACTAAACATTGACTATTCGTCTTCCTTTCATTTACTAAATAATAGAATGCGACATAAATGATCGGCGCTTATTGTATAAACTGGATAGTAGAAAACTAACAAAATGAATGATTTATCAACAGGTTGAAAATTAGTCTCTATCAAGATCTAACTTTGAAACGGATTATTACACTTTTATGTGTTTTCCCATTCGTCAAATTAATTTGCTTTTAATTTGATATTTTCTTTTTCTTTTTTTTTTTAATTGACGTTTCGCAAATGTGAACAATTTTCTCTACCCCAATAAATTTAACAAATTTATAAACCATAAAGTAACATCGGTGAGTGCATATAATACAACAAGAATGTAGGATGACCACCAAATTGCTTGATCAGCATATTTTGCAAATTTAAATATCTACGTCAATCAGAGAGAGAGAAAAAAAATAGTAGCCACGGTTTATAGTATTATTAATAGTTTTTATAAACCTTTTTGTTATCAAGATCTATGAAAGAGGAAACAAATATATAATAACCATTTATTATCGAAGATGCGCCATTCCTAAGTTTCCTTCATTTTTTTTTTTTTTATTCTTTTTTTTATACTCCGCGATAAACCAAAGGAAAGGAATTTTTTTTTAACGATTTAACATCAAACACGTTTTTTACGATGTTTTCGTCATCAATGAGAACATATTGAATAGATGCCGTTTTAAATAGATTTATATTAAAAATATATTATATAGAGTCATCGAGATAAAAACATCGAACGAAGTGGAAAAACAATTTTATATATAGAGGATTAAATTATAATAAATTAAATTGTTGTACGATTCAATAATGTTAAATATATAATTAAATATTATATATAATAATGTTATTGTGTTTAATAATTAAAATAAAATAAAAAAAAAAACTCACCCTCTTCGGTGCAACAACCTAAAAGTGTTACAACGTTCGGATGACTACCAAGTTGTTGCATGATCTCTAATTCTCGAACAAGATCTTCTTTTTCTCGTTCTGAAGCACCTTCCTTTACAGTTTTCACAGCCACCAATCTCGTTGTACCCTGATGACCAGTTAAATCGTCGGCTTCGGCTTTCCAAACCTAACAATTATAACACACACACTACTGTTCATACTACGTTTGAAAATATTCCACTCATGATTATTATTAATAAAAAGAATATAGAGATTATAATTCGTTATTACATCAAGATAATGAATTTTAGAATTTGTGTATTCATTTATAAGGAATTCCGTGTATATAATCATGAGATTTCTATATTCCCGTTAAAATGTACCTTTTTACGCGAACTTTTAACGCACGACAAGAAACGCGTCCCACGTATGCACGATTCTCTCTCTGGCGATTTATTATCCCGCTTTCCGGCTGAGCAGAAAAGAAAACATAATACCTTACCTGTCCAAAGTTTCCTTGCCCAAGGACCGTCTGTAACCTAAGCTTATCTCTAGGAAACTCCCATCTGGATTCTTGCGACGAAGGTGGTGGTGGTTTTTCTGCTTCGTGACACTGAATGAATGAATGAATAAAATGAAAAATAAAACCGAAACGAAACAAAAACAAAAACAAAAACAAAAAATAAAAAGAAATGAGAACGAAATAAGAAGGATTAAATTGTATAAGGAATTTAATTATTAATCGTCTCATTTGAATTTGAATTCTTACCAAATGTTGTATCCTCGGTAGTTTTGTAATCGCTTTTTCTATGGACGTTTTAAAATCACCATTTTCAAGATTAAGAGCATCCTTTCTGTAACTTATCTCGGATGACGTGTCTGATTCTTCAAGCACCTGCATAAGTATATTATCAATGTTAATTTTAAAAGAAATAAAAATATTCGATCGCGACGCACGCGGGAACACGGCCACGACGACGAACAGTCACGAACGAAAGTTGCAAATATTATTATTACGAGAAAAGACAGAGGAGTTTGACGTAAATTCAAGGTGATAAATAAATCGACTAACAAAGAATAATAATAATAATAATAATAAGCATAACGAGTATCGTCTGTTGGTTGTGATTTGAAAAAAAGAAATGAATTTTTCTTTACTTTTATTCAAAATGATTTAACAGAACGAACGTCACATTTTTTACGTTTACTTTATTTTCTCTATTTCTTCTCTGTTAATCTTAATTTTTTTATTTTTTCAAATGAGAAAATCTTCGAATAAGGTATTAGGTATATATATATATATATGACTTCGTAAGGCGCACAAATACCGCGACCATAATCACGGGTCGAAAGTTCTTCGATCATTCGATGATTCATCGAGAATCATACATGAGACAACGCGATGACCGATTTTTTTCTCGTCTCGTTGTATTATATTATTTTACATTTTCATTTTATATCACGTTTTAAAGTAATTAATAACGTCTACAATTTAAATGGAAATGAAAGAAGCTTTTACAACATGATAAGTATTATTATAGTATGTTAATTGTATACTACTCGAGTACGACGACTCGGTGAAAAGAGAATCCAAAGAACTCGGACTACTTTCGCTCGCGCGTAGCAGTTTACTTTCAAATCTACAACATCTTTCCTCTTTCCGTCTCTCTCTCTTTCTCTTTTACCCTCTCTTTCTCTCTGTTTCTCTGGGTCAAGCCTACGCTAACCCAGATACCAAAAAGATGTTGCTGAAACAAAGCCAGTTTACTTCCCAGATTTAAAACTCACCTTACGATTCCTAATGATCAGTCTTCTTAAAATGAGTCCAACGCCAACGGCAATTGGAAATACGACGAGAGTAGCCAAAATATAACTGACTACAGCTACTGTTTCTTGAGAAGCGATAGCATCACCATCGTGTCTTTTGGTCACTTCACTGATATTCACTGATTCTCGTGAACTAACAGCGATCGAACCACTATCAAAGAACGTCCTATTAAATTCGATTGGTTGATATCCTAAGTCAGAATAATCCGTTATAATGGAGCGATTAGGATAACTCGATTTGTACCTCGTCCTGTTAACGAAAGTGGAAGATGTGCTTGTAGATTTAGGAGTGGTTCTAGGGGTAGTTTTAGGGGTGGATTTAGGAGTGGATTTAACGGTGGGTTTGCTGGTAGCAGAAGGAGTGGTATATCGAGAAGCTGGTGCTTCCTGTGGAGACTCTTGCACGTCTTTAGTCGTATTATTTTCCTCTAAGGGTAGTTCGACCGTACGAGTAGCAGGACCGAGGGTGCTGCTGTCGTCGAAAATATCTGAAGTGTTGTAGAGCTGCATTATAGGCAGCACATCGTCTTCCTGTTTTGTTTTGTCAGAAAGACTACGCCCTCTGTTTTCTTGCATTTCGTGTATTTGTTTTTGTCCAATTTGAATAGGTAATTGACTTGTCGTCGAAATGGTAGACGTTTCCAAATTTGGAAAAGTATTACTCTCCGTACTCGAAGTATTTTGTCTATACATTTTTTGAATTTCTGATGGATCAAGGTCGGCCGCTAAACCGAAAGGTCTATCTTGATCTGGTTTCCTACTGGAAGTTAATCGATTAAGAGATTCCGTCGAGGTCGAAGTGGGAGTCTCTTTGGTGGTAATACGATTATTACTAGATGTTGTTTCAACGAGTAACTTGGGTGTAACCGAAGAGACGGATGCACTAGTTGTGACTTCCGTCATTATTGTTTGCGTAGTTGAATGCTCGTAGTTACTCTCCTTCGGAACTTCGTCTTTGGTATCGGAGTCGGAGAGATTCTCGGTCGATGGTTCAGTTGATAACGATGATGGAAGAAGATAAACGATAGTTGTTTCTTCCGGTACGTTCATAGCTAACAAACTTTCATTAGTTGCAAGTATATTCTCGAAGGTTTGATTGACCTTCAAGGAGGTTTCATTATCAGTACGAGATTCATTCTCTCGGCGCTCCAGATCAAGGGAATTTCTTCTGTCAGCGTCGAGGAGAATGGAATCTCGAGTGCCCGTGGAAGGCATTGCTTCCGGGCTCGCGTCAGTTGGGTTCACCACACCGCTGTGTAAAACAGCGCTAGCTGATTTTCGTAGAAAACTTCTATGATGATGATCCGCGTTAGTACCTTCGTCGATAACAAGGGCAACTCGATCAGACAAATGATGCTGTTGATAATGTTGTCTATTTCGAGTAAGAGCGCTCGCGATTCTCACGGGTGCGCGTTGCGGCGCTGACTGAACGCCGGCTCTGTGGGCACCGCTAGCAAGAACTTTTCTTCGTCGTTCCCCCACCAATGAGGGAGTAGCGATCGTGCTCGGTCTTCCAACCGCTTCGACGCTCCTGCCAGTACTGAGTCCAGCGGATTGTGAGGGCTCCTCACTGACGCCGGCAGCACCGGCGGAAGCCTCCGTCGATGGTGACTCTACCCTGGTGTTCGTTATCTCGCTAGAAGCATTACTCCTCCGAGAGCTTCCACCACCTCCTGTTCTTCCTACTTCGTCAGCTCTTCCTCTTCCTCTTACTCCAGTCTCTCCACTTAGCCCAGGTCCGGTGTAGTTGCGCAACAGTCTTGTCACGTTGGTTATCGTATACGCGTACACGTGTTGCGGCTGATGCCGGCGAGTCTCTTTCGTTGTGCTCCTCGACGTCGTCGTCGACGTCGTCGTCGTCGTCGGCGTMGTGGTCGTCGTGGTCGTCGTCGTAGAAGAGTCTTTAATCGATGGTTCAGGTTCCATCACGATGATTCTTAAAGTCGTTGAACGGGTCGTAGTCTCGTCAATACTGTTATTCTCACGAGACTTCTTATCATCCTTCGAACGGTACTCGGAACGATTATCAATTTCTGCTTTTTCTTCGATATCTTCTACCTTCTTACTTCTTCGAAAACTTCCTCTTGACACTTTTGTCTTTTGAACACTATCTTTATCCCTACTCCGCTCCTCCACTTGTTCTTCTAATTTCGTTATGTTATCATTATGTGTCATGTCCTTGCTAGGAATTACGTTCGTGGCGATCGTTGAATCCGACAATCTCGCTTTTCTGTAATACGAATTCGGCAGATCTCTTAACGTGCTTTTAGTCGTCTTAGATACTTTGTTCTTCTCAATTATGCGTCTTTCCAAAGCAACGTTGGTCTCCTCCTTTGTGATTTCTTCAGGTGGAGATGTTGTAGTTGTCGTTGTCGTCGATGTCGTTGTCGTTGTCGTTGTCGTTGTCGTTGCAGAAGAGGACAAGCTGGTTCTCTTACTAGGGTTTCTCCTTCTTATGGTTGGTGGAGTGACTGAGACAAGCTCGTTCGAATCGTTAACAATTGTCGTTACGTTCTGCAGCTCTGGTTGTAGTTTCTGACCGAAATACAAGAACTGCGACATGTCCTCCATCGGAATGTTACTTTCAACTGGTCTAAAGTGCTTGTAAAGGGACTCCGGCATGGATACTGTATTTTTTCTACGGATATTATCAGCTTCCAAAGACTTGAAAGGAATGCTCGTTACTGGCGCCATTGTCATTGTTGACTCGGTATCCTCGCGGTGTTCACTCATCAACGTCGTTAAGTTCTCTTCCATCGTTGCTCCTAACGTTTCCTTGTCAACGTCGGTCCCGTTCTTCAGTAGAGGAACACTTGCATAGACCTCGTGTTTCGTCTCCTGTGCTTCCAGGATATCTGGTGGATCCTTTCGAGTGACATCGATGAGACGGCTGTTACGTTGCTTCGACATTCGTCGTCTTCGTGCTGCAAGAATGTTTCGTAGGACCTGTTCCCTCTTAGCTTTAGAGGAGAGTACTTCAGCCGAGTATATCTCCGTACTCGAGGACACCAGACCTTGAACTTTCTCTTCCTCCTCGGTTGTTTCTGCGAACAAATAAATGAACATTAATATACCACCGGCTTGTTTACTTAAAAAGCCGACTGTTAGTCAAGTGTAATGCGAACGTTTATTATCCGCGAAACCGTTCCTTTCATTTTCCTGTCGTCGCGTGTCTTGAATAATGCAGTCCACCCCGTTATCTCTATCGTAATCGAGAATCATCATCTGACCTTGAAATTGCACAGACGCGCAGAATCCTCTTGGCACGAAATTCTAGCATAAGGGTACTGCTACGCTCGGAGAGATTGTTTCTTTCTTTCTTTCTAGATATGAAACGAGAAGCTCAAGGAAGAAAATAAAAAAGAAAAAAAAAAGAAAGAGAAACAGAAAAAGGGAATATAGCTATGAATGCCGCGTCGTGTATGTTGGTTGGCGTTGGAAGGAGGCTACGAAGTCGTGGGTTATCGCCGCGAACGTGACCGCATAAAGGATCGTAATATTTTATGTGAACACGTGTATGAGGAAGGTCAGTATTGCTCCTGTTCTTGTTTTGCGAGTACGCGAGCGTGCTACGTTAGTACCAAGCTCGACGATTCAACGAGACGGCCTACTAAACTATAATATAAATGCGTTATATGCTCGAAGCTACGCGTTTCTCTCTCTCTCTCTCTCTCTCTTCTTATTTTTCTAATTAATTAATGGTAAGTCTTTATCCTTATCGATGGGTAAGTTAAAACGTTGATATCGAAACATTTTTCTAAACATAACGTCATATTTATCAGGTACTAATACGCAGGTATTACACGCAATATTATACACATTGAAGGACAAAATTATGAGTTCAGATCTTTACAAGAAGAGATAATCTCTCACTTGTTATCGAAGTTTATTATCTCGAAGTTTATACCGAGAACCTTGGCCTTGGCTATACTCTCAATATCTTAAAACGATCTACTACGATGGTTCAATATCATCGTCCATTTGGAGAAGAAATACTATGAAACGATTTTATATTATACAACCATTGCAAATCCTAAACAAAAAGATTCTTTACAATTATATAATAATTGCTGACTGATATTTCCCGTTTCGTCAATTAAACAATGTTAATATACTGTATTTAATCGATTCCAACGAAAAGATCTTTGTTACATACATTGAAAATGATGAGTTAAGAACGACAATGATGTTAAGTAAGATCGAGAACATCGACGATTACGATAATTTAGTATTATCAAATGATTGTCAAGTACCACTTTGAATATCAACGATTAATCATTAAATATTTACATAAAAATTTGCCTTATCATCGTGTTTCCTCTTCAAACTATAATGCCATTGGCTATAATACACGCGACGAGATCTCTATAGCTTGTTCAACATTTCTTCGTCTTTTTATAGCCAGAAGTGTATTTTGTACCTTTATCTTTCTATCTTTCTTTCTCTTTATTATTCCTTTTTCTCTGTTTCTTTTCATTTCTCTCTCTCTCTCTCTCTCTTTCTATCTTTCTCGTTCTATCTAAGCTGTCTCTTTCCAGTACATTCAGAAACGGTTCGTTTCACTCTTGTGGCCGTCTTTCGCGAAGCGTGGATCCGCTTCCGTTGGTGAATCCTGGCTCACAACTACAGTGGACATTACGTTCAAACTCTACGAATTTCACGATCAATGACAAACAGCTTCAATAATTTTGTTCCTTTTTTTTGTTAAACCTTTTTTTCTTTTTTTTGCATCATTATGTCATCGTTCACGTAACATTGCAATTATTTTTTTTTTTTTAGAAACAAATTAAAGAGAGACACAGTTTTTGTTTTTTTTTGTTGAATAATTATTTTTCATTTATATATTACGTTTAGCACAAAAGTGCGCAAAAAAACGAATTAACCCAATGATTTCGTAATAGTTTAAAATGTTATCTCTTTTTGTATTATATTATTTATTCATTTCTTCTTTTTATTACTTCATTAAAGAACTCTTTTGTATGTTTTAATATTTTTTTGTTTATTTTTTTTTTTTTTTTATTAAAAAGAAAAATATATATATAGGTAAATCTAATACGTTATAAAAAAAAATGATTTTTACGATACTTGATAAAAACAATTGTTATTAAAGTGCATCTCTAAGAAATGTCAAGTCATACACTCGATGTAAGTGTAATATACAAGAAATGTTAACAATTCGAGAAATCTTTATCAACGTGTCGTATTATTCAAACACGTACAATACTTAAGATTCTTATGAAACTAAAGATCGTGAACTATGTTAGTAATAAACATAAATAAGCGACCATAATTCGATAGGATAATCGATAAATGAGAACAGTTTAAGTTCGATCCATCAGAAGATCGTATCTTCGTTAGTCACGATATCGCGATCGTTCTAGAAGCTGCCCTTTTTTTTTTTTTAAACTACTACCTCTTGACGATCCTTTGAAAACACCGACGAGCAATTAATGACGTAAATCGGGATGATCCATCGAAGGCCGACGACCGAGGAGGATCAACGATCCATGCCGATTTATCGATCGATTCGAAACGAAAGCTGAAAAAAAGTGTTACACGTTGCTTCTTTCTATGTTTTTTTTTTTTTTTTTTTGTAGAAGAATCAAAGGTCATGGTTTCTTCTTCTCTTTCAAACCCTTCCTTAGCTTTCCATTTTATTTCTTTCCTCGTCCTCCTTCTCTTCTTCTTCTTCTTCTTCTCTTCGTTTCATAATTCATTTTACGAACGGAACTACGGAAGGAAAATGGCGCGAATGCACGCGATTAATCCTGGTAGCGATGGCAACTTACGCGCGTGATTACGTGTCAAAGATCGCATCGTACAACGTTCAGTGTGTTGCATAATGGCCATGAGATCCACCTCTTTGGTAAAACGACACGTACGTAAAATGCAAGTCTACAGTAGACACGAACATTAATGATAAATGTTATCTAAACGACACGTAAGACACTTTTGTTGCTAACCTATGATCAATTGTCGCCGATGTAAAAATGTTTCATTTAAATAAATCACGTAATACATTTAATAAACTATCATTAAAATAAAAATGATAACTATGAATGTAAATTGTCAATACAATTTTTTCGAATGTAGAAAAATTTCATTTTTTTTTTTTTTTATATATATTAATACATTTTAATTATATAATTATAAAAAAAAAAGAAATTAAAAATTGATAACGTTTGCTGTTTTATTTCTTTTTATTTTTGGAGTATACGATAAGCGTAATAGGATCGTGTGTGTTCATTTTCATTTTGTCGAAGTTAAAAGGAAGATTATGGTAGCATAGATGGTGGTATCATCTTGCACAACAGTTATATAAGAGTTCCAGGGACATTACAATGGATTCTCGATGTTGCATTAAATCGTATGCAGGTTCTGGTAGAACAATAGAATGCAAAGAGGATCGAATGGGTGTTCTCGAAAAGTCATCTATAACACTTTTTGGAATACTTCCTGATTGATGTAAATGATTGATACGAGAATGTGAAAGAAATTTTCATGTATGAAATTAAAATGTCAAGAAAATATAACTAGAAAATAGTTAACCAGATATATTATAAGGGTTTACCTTCGAAGAAGTTCAAAGTTCTTAGCTTCGTTACCTCGACGAACGAACGAACGAACGCACGTTCTTACGATCACGATCAAGATCATTGACTTCTCACGAATGTAAAGCGATCCCTCGAAAGCCTCCGTACTGCTGCTAGGATCTTTCGTCCGGATATCACGTAGACTCGGAGAAAGGACAGGATTATCATAGTCGTGCATCTGCAGGACGTCACGTTCTGCCACGTCGAAGTCTCTTTTGTGACAAAATATTCTTTTTGTTTTTTTTTTCCTTTCTTTCTTTTTCAATGCATCATACATATTTACCTACTCAAATTTCGATCGATACGATCGTATTATTAATTTACACACAAAAAATCAAAGGGAGAGAGAGAGAGAGAGAGAGAGAGAGAGAGTATTGTACGAATCCTGAATTTAAATGAAATTCAAGGACGAATATATAGGCTTTTGAAATTTTCATCGACATTGTTGAAAAATCATCATTTCTAGCACGCATAAACGCGCGCACGCGCGCACGCACGCACGCAGGCACGCGATGCCTTCGATTTGACCGAATTACTCAGTTTGATCTTGATAAGTAGCAAGCATGAAATTTTGTTCCGCTCTACTACGAGCATGAAAGTTCATCGACTGTTTTTAAAACCTATTATGACTTTACCTATCATTAAAATTATCATCGATGTTACGAATATTTTTCGTTGTATTGGATTGTTCGAAAAGTTCGTGCCAATTTTCGGTAAGTGGTATAAAGTTGTTTTACTAAAAAAAAAAAAAC